AGAAAATAAAATTTCTTTCTTCGTCTTTACAAAACAAAAAAATAGGAGGAAACTGTGACACGTTCACTAAAATAATCCGTTTGTAGCGAATAATTTATTAAAAAAATAAATTAAATTTGGGCGAACGACGGGAATTGAACCCGCGCATGGTGGATTCACAATCCACTGCTTTGATCCACTTGGCTACATCCGCCCCTCTACTATTATCTAGTATTTCTAGATTTTTCCATTAACAGAAACAAAAGAGCATATTATTTCTTTCTTATTTTTGAAATCAACGAAATAAATAATAAAACTTTTCATTTTTATCTATTTTAGATTGATATTCAATTGTAAATCAAACTTCATAAAACATTGGGAAAATGATATATAAACCTCTAAATTAATACAAAGAGAAAACATGCTAATCGAACCAAACAAAAGACCTTGTTATTTCTAAAGAAACTATGTAAAGCAAATACTACTAAAAAAAGGAGCAATAGCTTCCCTCTTGTTTTATCAAGAAGGCATTATTGCTCCTTTTTTAGGTCAAAAACTCCTATACAATTACAATAAGACCAAAGTCTTATCCATTTGTAGATGGAGCTTTGATAGCAGCTAAGTCTAGAGGGAAATTATTAACATTACATTCATGCATAACTTCCATACCAAGGTTAGCACGGTTAATGATATCAGCCGAAGTATTAATTACACGGCCTTGACTATCAACTACCGATTGGTTGAAACTGAAACCATTTAGGTTGAAAGCCATCGTGCTGATACCTAAAGGAGTGAACCATATACCTACTACAGGCCAAACAACTAGGAAGAAATGTAAAGAACAAGAGTTGTTGAAAGTAGCATATTGGATGATTAATCGGCCAAAATAACCATGAGCGGCTACGATATTATAAGTTTCTTCTTCTTGACCGAATCTGTAACCTTCATTAACAGATTCATTTTCTGTGGTTTCCCTGATCAAACTAGAGGTTACCAAAGAACCATGCATAGCACTAAATAGGGAGCCGCCGAATACACCA